TGTGGCATGCAACTTTCGAGCCGCAGGTAAGCAATCACATAAGCGACACCTATGGGAGCCATTGTGCCCGTGGGCAAAGGTGGCGCCCCCGCTGGTTGTCGTTGGCAGGGTGGTGGCGGTCGCAACGTAACAAAGGGGAGGGCATTAGGTTTTTGGGTAAAAGACCATTTTACCCCTTATAATTTTAGAAATTTTAAGAATTGTCCTTTTTGTCCAAATTATCAAAATACTCTTCATAATTCAGAAAATTCCCTGCATGTCTCGATTTTTAAAAAAAATATTAGTTAATTAAAAGGTTTAATTAACTGTTATTATTTATCTAATAGTCTTATATAATGATATATACATGTGATGTATGATGTGGACGGATGATAATGGATCATGTGATGTGATTATTATTATTATTATTATTGGGGCCTACGAGCCTCCAATTTATTTCTCATTTATTATTGGGGTTGTGTGTCTATAATTATGTTGTAATTACATGATAAGGCACAATGGGAGCATGGAGGTTATAGCGAGACTTACGAGGTTGAGACGGACGATTGCGACGCATGGAGATGTGCTGAGATGTCGACGGAACTGAACCTCCAATTATTTCTTATATTCGAACCTTTACTCGTCGCAACTCTTACCATGTGTGTGATCCTCTAGGCTCAATATCGAACTGGTTGTGAGTCGTACCTGTTAGAACTCCTTTTAGCTCAGTGAATTATTATCTTCATAATAATTCACTCGACTCATCAACTTCAAACGTACTAGGCTATTACGCCATAGTCCCTAGATGATACATGGGAATCTGATCCTTTGGACCTATCTGTCCTTAGTTACCATGTACATATAGTCTCTTATCCACCTAATATCCCATATACTGAATATCGAGCATGGTGCTATCAAGCCCAAACGGTTTCTCCTCGAGTCTCGCTTTAATCGGATTCTCTTAGAGAACTCTTTCTCTCTCAATCTGAATGACCTTAGCTAAGGATTTGTCTAAGCAAGAACACATGAGATATTCCTCTTATGATACCGAGAGTGGATGATCCTCTATCGATACTCAATAGCCCTCGTAAGGTTGGCTACCACTCATAATAGCCGATTGTACTAGATTTGAAACTTTCAAACCTATGAGTTCGATATCAAAGAATGAAGTACTCATACATGACATCCTTGGTGTCTCAAGTCTAAGGACCAGGTACACACCACTAAGATGACGAAATAGCTGTCTAACAATGAGATATCATCAATCATCCAATATTACATAAGCAGATCAATCAGTGAACTCATTCTTTAATGAGCACTTGCACTGTAGTCTTAGTGTCCCCACACGAGCAACTATGAGACCCATAACCTTCATCATATGGACGGGTATACGATACATTAGTCTATTCGGTTATCTCGATGTCCCTCTCGAATAACCTATATCTTGATCTCATCACGATCCGATTCTCATTGCATAGATCTATATTTATACATCAAGCAATATAAAATAAAAAAATATCATAATAATAATAAGCAAAAAGATTGTGTTTTACACGCGCTATCACTCACGTGATTGGCTTGCATGCCACTTATGACTAGCATGACACACTAGTTTATTTGGTCATCTCGATGTCCCTCTCGAGTAACTTATGATCGGGATTATTTAGGGTTTATGTTTAAAGGTAAATCGGTCTCATTATCGTGATCTCATCACGATCCGATTCCCATTGTATAGATCTATAAATATCACAATATATGCAGCATGCAAGATAAAGTGATAAAATATCAAATAATATAATAAGTAAAAAGAATATGTACAATGTCACATATGTCATCACTCACGTGATTAGCTTGAAAGACACATACGATTAGTACATAGCCCCCATATATTGATGACCAAGACTTTCATCCGATATAAAATTTAATGCACGTATAGAAGACTCACCTCTACGGTACCATAACATTCACTTCTTGAATCTATAACCCCTTTTTTCATCATATTGTTCACTAAAGTGGAGCTCCCAATCATATGATCAAGTATTTGTGAGACTTCTCCCATGTTTGTTGCATTATCTCAAACTATTCCAATATGATATGTTACACCTTGTTGCCTCTTGGTGACATCTTTATTGCATTTTGATCTTTGTGGGATGAACTTGGATTGCGATCTCTCCATATGAGGCCTTTGCCAGCACATCGCATGGCCTCTACCACATCGGATTATGTTCACTCTTTTGGAAAAAAAACCTTTGCCCACCCACTCTCAGGTCACACTCAGACGAAGCACAACTCTATGACAATTTGTTACATAGTAGATCTCGAAGTCCACTAACTTTGCTGAAATTGGTGCATCATTCTTTGGATCCTAGGCCTCTACTCCCTAACATAATCTCCTCTATGCATTGTTCCTTAACGATAACTTAAATGGCAGCACTATGACATATTCTTCAAGAGTACTCGCCTCTGCTTCCTTTTGCCCTGTGCCAAGGCCTTCTAACCCCAACTTTACCTCCATAAGTTGAGTTGTCTTAGTTTCTATGTCAAATGATTCACTGAGATAAGGTGCATGTGCCTCGACTTTCGTCTTTGGCACTATGCAAGGTGAGTCTATTTTATTAGAATGAGGGACCCATGAAATGACTTGATCCCACTCTTGCCTCTATAAGAATTCATATCTTTAAATTCTGTCAAGAAAAGCTTTGTGTGTCTACTCCATGTTTCGTTTTTTATGTTGATTCCCTTCATGCGGCTTGGGCACTTCACCAAGTTTCACCCAAGTTGCTCCGCTCCTTGGTTTGCATTGAGTTGATGGTGGCCCTCACGCCCACCATTCCACAAGTCAATCCTTCATTGAGTTCGATCTCCACATCGACTTTAAGTATGCCTTTATTTGGTATTATTTTAGATCGCTCCCCCACTTGATCTCACAATGCATCTACCAATGCATTACCTCATGTGAGATTATACAATGCCTCCTTGTCGCTCGCTCGATCCGTTGAGCTTTATGGAGTTGTTATCTTGAGGTACCCTTCCTCAACATATGCGATTTGTTGCACATAATTCTTCCTTTGAAGAATCGAGACTTATCCCTCTTGGATATATATCTCATTGGAGCAACTTTCCTATTCGCATCTTTTTCTCTAGAAGTTTCGGAGACCACCATCCCCTTGGACTACTCTATCTTGATGAACAAACTATGCACTGTTCCGCCCCCGCGAACGTACTTGTTAGATTGCGATTCATCGCTAATACAGCCCTCATTGCGCCTCTCAAGACTTAGCAACATGCTGAACTTATTACACACTTCAACCTCTTCTTGTGGACGTATCTTTCTCATGGCAAATAGAAAGTTTCAGTGCTCTATGACGCTGAGTTTTGGTCACCTTAGGATAACCACGGACAGCCCATCATCCGTATAAAAACCCTTGCATGAGTACCGAATTATTTTGAGTGAGCAATTCCCTTCATCTCTATGAGCTTTGTACAACTCTTTTGGTCATTAGGCAATTCATTCTATTGTGCACAATCTTATCCTCTACCAAGCACTCCGTTGGCCTTAAACATCATTAAGTTTGGTTACCAATATCGAACCGCAACTCGAACTCAACTATCTCAACCTTTATATGCTATGCATTCTTCCTAGCTTGCTTGTCCTCATGATATCTCTTGCACAAAGGGTTGGTCATTCCTCTAAATGTCAATCTCGGAAGTCTGCTGCTTTGAACGACTCATTTCTTTATATCTTAATGCTCATTTCCCTCAAACGATCAGACATGCTAACTACCCTCAATGCAGCCCCGCTATGTTTCTTACGTTTGCATGTCAAATGTTTCTAAGTATGCTTATCTCACTTTAATACCATCTATCATAGACTTAAGTAGTTTTGCTTAAGTCATGCAACACTCTTGCATGTCCATATGTAAATGATCAGCCTCCTCAAAATCTCTTATAGTCCCTTAAGGACCTATAAAAGAAAAAATATATTAGAAAAAATGTTTAACTCAAGATCCACAAGTAGCTATTTCAACAAACACTAGATAAACAATACAAATTACAAACATGAACTTCGCAAGTTTTGAACGATCGCATGATAAAAGACCCAAGGTGGTCCGCCACGATCAAAAGTCCACAAAAGACACTGCTACGAAACAAGACAGCGCACCCACTCTAAACACTACCCCAAAAACTCATCCAACCATTGGTCACTTGGATAGCTTTTAGGTGTTGTAACTCATCAAAATAACTATTAGATAATATATTTCTAGATAATTTTATCTCTGACTATACATAATATGTGTTTACTTGTCAAACTTACTCCAAACCCTCTATACCCTCTATATGCTGTGTAAAGCATGAATAAAAACCGAAAGATAAAAAAATATACTAACATTATATCAGACATTTTATTTATAATTTTATCCGTGACATTTGCTCTACACACTTACTATATAATCATGTTAAATTTCACTGATATAAATAGCTTCATATGTGAGGTTACAATTTTGTAAGCTTCTCCTTCAATCTCACAAGATAGGGTTTATGAAACATGCTAGTCTCATGGCAGCCCAATAACTCCATGTGGAATATGCAAGTTATGCATGAGCCATCACATACAGATAGATACAAAGCAGGAGGCCATTTTGTCAAAATGTTGGCCATTTTGTCAAATGTGGCAACTTACGAAAATTATAGCTTCCCGACAAAGACCATTTTGTCACATTTCACATGACTTTCAGAAAGCAATAGTAGCTTCAAATATGCAACTGCAGAACTTGGGTTTGAACATCTTTTGGAGCCAACCAGATTTTGTTCACTATGATCCAGTTTGACCTAAAGAACACTCGATAAGATGCAATGTGACAACAGTTGTCATCGAAAAACACGCAGGCAACTCTTTCTTGAGAGAATCCTAGCGAGCTGTAGAATCTTAACATAAGTACTCCAAGAATTGATGTCAACTTGGAAACTCAAGAAAATTTTGTATCAGATGGGCTTCCTTCCAAGACAGATTAATCCTTTTGTCATCAAGAGCTCCACAGAGCACCTCAATCTCTGATGCCACATGTACAACGAAGACCCGAGTCCTGCAAAATTAATACAGAAAATGAAAATGTCCCAAGTGAATAACAGAAATCTTTCAATATCAAAACTTCATGTATACTCACCATATTCTCTCTAAAGATCATTCCAGTTTCGTTGTTCTTCCTTCTGTTCAAGCACTTCTATGCAATCAAACATCAAAGGCAGGTTAACATGGACTCATCACCATCCAAGAAAGATCTGTTGGAACTCAACTAAAATAAACAGAACAGTCCAACCCCTGGCATGTTTAAGATTCACAAAGCTGTGTGTATGGTTCCGGTATCCATTTCATGAATCTGGATGAGAAATAATTATATTAGTGATCCTCGGTGATCAAATTCAACAACTCTGACCATTGCAGTTATTGTATAGCCATAATGAAGTGAAATGACCTAATTATGATGAGTCCAACTACATATACAGGAGACAAAGTGTGGTCTGATTATTCTCCGAGTTTAATGTGTCACTATTTGTCAAGAGAAGAACCTCCTGAAAACAAACTATGAGCTCCTGGAATTATTGAAATTGATTACCAAGTAGCTTGAATTTACTCCACAACAAGATAAAGAAAGCAACTAGCATATATGGGCTTAATGCAAATGACACAGAAGGCCAAATTTTTACCTGCATCTAAGATGTTAATCATAATTAGACAGCAATTACATTCATCAACAAAATGGAATGGATGATCCTACTGAAACCATTTTCACAAGGAAACATATTTCAGTCAGCTGGCAAAAGAGAAGTAATTCTATTAATTCTGAGAGCATTTACTTAGCAGCTGATACTATTTAACACATTATGATATAAACAGAGAAAGGAGTTCATCCTAATTTTTCCAACTTGCTTCAAATTATGCGAAAAATAACAAGTATCTCCAGACAATTAAGAATACAGTAAACACTAGAACATATAGATTAAGAAGAAATTTAGAAACAAACAAGAGAGTACAAGCTGTAAAGTCCAATCTGAAAGGGAGCTTGACTTGCAACTCAAAATAGGTCAAGTTCACATAACCTGAGCAAGCTATTAGAGTTTTAAGTTGATTTGCAAGATTGGTCTACTCACATGTTTTTCTTTTTTGTTGTTTCCTATTTAAAGCCATTTCAAGTAAATGAACCTTAGACAAACCGGCACTCAACTCAGCTCTTCGAGCAGTTTGACAGAAACTAAAACTATGCATCAGTATACTTTTCAACTTGAACCAATTAAGTAATTACAATATCAGTATACTTCTTGACTTGAACCAATGAAGTCATATGAAGGTTTTAAGCATATGTATAACGTTTAAAGTTGTATTTTCATTACTTGAAACATGTGAGTGCACATTAAATTATTATGTGATACTATAAAGACTTGCCACACATTTGGTACTTGGTCTTGAATGATTTCAGTACCCAGACTTCCAGTGCTAGTTACGCTACCGCATACCTTTGAATAGATACTTACAAGTCGTACATACAAAAGGACCCAAATCTCGATCTAGTGTTGATATCGGTCCAGGTCTAGTGCTGATATCAGTCGACAGCTGAACCAGTACTCTATTGGTACAACTGACATACCAATACTCGGTATAGATTGGTAACCCAGAGAGGAAGAAAAGAGGAGGTGATGGCAGAGAAATCGACATTTCAATGAGAGGTGGAAGAGGAAGAGGATGCAACTTTTACAAGGAAAGAGATGGTGACGGTGATGGGCCAAGTGAAGGAGGAGGCGATTGCAAGGCAGCGGAAAGGAGGAATAGGCAGAGGAGGGAATAGTGACTTAATAACATATCAAAAAAATATCATCCTGTCACGGATAAAGTTCTAAACAGGATGTTTAATGTAATACTTATGTATGTCTGTGTCTTTCTGTTTGTTCATGCTTTGCACAGCATGTAGAGGAATGGTCGAAGGCTTAACAGCCGCATTTTAGTTAGGTTTGGTGGCCTTCTTAGACTTGTAAATAAATGTTGTGTCATGTGGAAACTTGTGAGAGATATTCGGTCTGTAGTGGACCATTTTGACCCTTTGTTGTGCAACCGTTCAGAGCTTGTAAAGTATGTTTGTAATTTGCATTGTCTATGAGGTGTTTTCGGAAATGTTTGCTTGTGGATCCCGAGTGAGGCGCTTTCTCTAACCCGTTTTCTCTTTTGTAGGTCCTAAGGGACCATGGGAGGTTTCAGGGAGGCTGATCTTTGCGGACGGACACGCAAGGGTGCCGCACGACTTAGGCAAAACCAGCTAAGTTCGTGACAGATGGTATCAGAGCGGGACAAGCACTCATAGAAACACTTGGTATGTAATGTGGGGGACCTAGCGGGGCTACGTTGAGGGCAGTCAGCACATGTGCGACCGTTTAGAGGAAAACGGGCATGGAGATGTAGGGAAAAGGAGTCGCTCGGAGGAGCGGGCATCTGAGATTGACATTTAGAGGAATGGCCAACCCTTCGCGCAAGAGGCACCACGAGAACAAGCAAGCTTGGAAGAATGCGGAGTGCACAAAGGTTGGGATGACTGAGTTCGAGCTACGACTCGATGTTGACAACTATACTTGATGGTGCCCAAGACAAGCGAGGTGCTTGGTAAAGGAGGAGACCATGCAATGGGAAATGAGTTACTCAGCGACTGAAAGAGTTGTGCAAAGCTCATAGAGGTGAGGGGAATTGCTAACTCGAAGAATTCGGTACTCATGCATGGGCTTGTATGTGGACAATAGAATGTTCGCGACCATCCCAAGACGACCGAAACTCGGCGCCATGGAGCATTGAAACTTTCTCTTCGGCATGTGAAGGATACGTCCGTGGGATGCTGAAGTGTGCAGCGAGTTCAGCATGTTGCTAGGCCTTGAGTGGTGTAGCGGGGGCTGTATTGACGTGGAGTCGCAATCTAGCAAGTGCGTTTGCAAGAGGCAGAACAATGTACAATTTGTTCAGCAAATCGGGGTAGTCCAAGGGGATGGCGGTCTCCGAAACTTTCAGAGAGAAAGAAGCGTAGAGAGATATTGCTCCAACGGGACAGATATCCAGGATAGATAGGTCTCGGTTCTCCAAAGGGAGAATCATGTGCAACAGACTGCACATGTTGAGGAGTACCTCAAAAACAACAACTCCACAAAGCTCAATGGACCGAGCGAGCGCTGAGGAGTCGTCACATGATCTCGCTTGAGAGAATGCATTGGTGGATACATTGCGAGATCAAGTGGGGGGAGTGACCCAAAGCAACACAAATAAAGGCACACTTGGAGTCGATATAGAGATCAGACTCAAGGGAGGGCTGACCCGTGGAATGGTGGGCGCGAGGGCCACCATCAACTCAATGCAAAAACGAGGAGCGAAGCAACTTGGGTGTAACTTGGCGAAGTACCCAAGCTGCATGAAGGGAGCCAGCATAGAAGATGAAACATGGAGCGGAGGCACAGTGCTTTCCTTGGACAGAGGTCAAGGACATGAACTCTTGCAGAGGCAAGAGCAGGATCATGTTGTTCCATAGGTCCTTCATTCTGACGGAGGGGACTCATCTTGTATGGTGCCAAAGACAAAGGGAGCTTTTGGGCACATGCACCTTATCTCAGAGAAGCATTTGATGGAGGAACTAAGGCGACTCAACTTGCGGAGGCAAAGTTGGGTTCAGAAGGCCTTGGCACGGGGCAAAAGGACGCGAAGGCGAGGACTCTTGAAGAATATGCCACAGTGTTGTCATTCAAGTTGACATGAAAGAAGCGGTGCGCAGCGGAGATTGTGCTGGTAGGGGCAGAGGCCCAGGATCCAAACAATGGTGCACTAATTACAACGAAATCAGTGGACTTCGGGAGCTACTAGGCGACGGACTGTCCTAGAGCGGTGCTTCATCTAGGTGTGACCCAAGAGTGGGTGGATGAAGGTCGATTGCCAAAGGAGCGAACAAAATCGAAGGTGGAAGAGACCCTGCGATGTATTGGCAAAGGCCACACATGGAGGGATCACAATTCGAGTTCATCCCACAAGGATCAGAATGCAATAGAGATGTCACCAGGAGGAGACATGGTGCAGCGGATCGTGGTGGAACAGTTCGTGGCAATGCGATACACACAACATAGTCCCGTGAGGGACTATATCATACGAAGGTATGATCAGGAGATACTGGAAGCTCCACTTCGGTGAACAACACGACGACAAGAAGGGCTATGGATTCAAGGAGTGAAGGCCATGGTACCGCAGAGGCGGGTCTTCCATGCGTGTATCGAATTTTACAGCGGATGAAAGCCTTGGTCATCAGCATATGGGGGCTGTGTTCCACAAAGGGAAAAGTTCGAATGCAAGTACCAGTGAATCCCATGGGAGGGACTTGATCATGCAGAGGTATGATCGAAACAGCTGGAGAGTTGGACTACTCCAAAGCCCATATTCGCTTAAGGGAGCCCAGTAAGTCAGAGGATAAGGTCGAGTAAGCGAACGTTGCTACCAAGGAAGCTAAGGAGAACAAAATCGGTGCAAACCCTACAACGTGATGGCAGAGGCCATGCATGGGAGTTGCAGTCTGTCTTTCCATCGACCAAAGAGAGCTGTTTGGAGAACACGACACACAAGGGTGCCGTACGACTTAGGTAAAACCAGCTAAGTCCGTGACAATCCGGTACCCAAGTTTTAATAATTAAAACTAGGCGATATGCCTAATAAGATAATCATACCAGTCGGTAAGTCCGATATGAACCAAATCTAGATGACAACCGGTGGACCACATACCGGTCCAAGGTTAAACCAGTAGATACAGTCCTGTATTAACTGGTACAACAGGTTTTCTAAACCTTGGTACATACAACATCTAAAATTCTGCCTAAAAGTCTAACACTATGAAAATTTACAGAATAATGTTCAAAATATAGCCTGTGAAAAATTTCAGTATTTTTTTCTCCTTCAAGGATATTACTAATTTCTTTCTTTTGTTCCTTAAAAACATTTTTGTGGGAATGGAATCCTGAAATAATGAATAATACTCCCAATATTGACAAAACTGCTGGAAGGATAATCCAAAATACAGGTCAAAATGGGAACAGGAACCAGTTGTTATACCACAGGTATGAAAAACCACAATCACTGCCATGCCAAATTTGTGCCTTCCATGGTAACACAAGAATGCCATAATAACCAGCACTTGGATAACTTTGAAAAAGCACCATAATATGAAAGGAAATATTTGTATACTAAACAGAATAATCCTTATGAAAAATTCAGTAAGTGTGATTTGGCTTGTTTGACACTTGCTAATTTTGTAAGTTCCGGTATCTTCTGCCTTGTATGCTGTACTAATAATTATGTGAGATATCATACCAACATTGATACCATAGAAGAAAGGTTTAACATGAAAAGTTAAAAAAGAACATCAACGATAATTTTTAGGTTACCATTTGTCCATAATGCTTGGTGAAAATATAAGAAACTCGAGCCCACTTGACTGTACTACAGATGAATTTACATAATAGCCAATCATATAGCAAAACCTGAGACATTAAAATTAACAGATAAGTTTGATTGAAAGAGAACCCTTGATATAAAGTATTAGTTAGGCACAGAAAATGATAAGTTCAAGAACATACCTTCGCCACGGAGCTATATTTAGAAACTTTCTATCTGATTTTCAGACCAGAAGGTGCTAACCTATCATCCTTGATTTTTTCCCATCGAAGCATCTTCATAATATTCGTGTCCCGTTGAGACAACCTGCAAAGCTGTTCCTTCAACAAGCCATGCTGTGAGCTCTGGCTGATGTTCAAGGTGGTTAAGTGGATGCAGACTTCCATCATCCATTTGGACACCATAGACAAATGGGAGCTTAAATGTAAGAAAGCTTTCTGGTGGAAGAATGACTTGACAGTCGAGGCTAAATTGTGATTGCTGCTCACGGTTTTGAATAGATGGAGGTAGACAAGAGTCCTATAGTACATTAATGTTCCAACAAATTGTCAGTATACAATATAAAGATAACGGGCATCTTTTAACTTGAACAGGCAACAACATGCAATAAGACTTCAAAATCTTGTAGTAAAATTATAGCATCTAAAAAATCATTCAACTGTACACAAGTGATCATCCTAAAGAATCCATATGCATTTCTTTGTAAGAAAGTGGTTAATTGTAAACTTTTGTCAAAAACCTCTTATGGTAAAGTATCAAACTTTAAATATTGTCCACATAATGGAAAAGAATTGGGTACTTATGACCTAAAAATTAACACTAGGAACTAGGAAGGCACCATTACTTACCTCGAATTGTATTACTGGGCATGTTGCTAAAACAGTAGGGAGCGGCGGTGTCACCTACATAACAAAAAAAAATGTTAAAGGGGGCAGGTTTATAATTTCATACAATGAGAAGATACTCTATATATAAGAGATAAGAGATTCTTTGAAGGAAAACTTTCTAAGTCTAAGTATTTGACAACATGTTTTGGAATTATCCAGTAATGTATAATCATAGTTGATAATTTGATATCACCATTCTTAATTTCCATGTCATCAGGAAATCTAGTGAATCAGGAACAGTTAAGCATCAGCACTGCAAGCAGAAAATTCCAACGACCAGATTCCAGTAAGATCTACTAGTATATGCTATATATCTAACATATCATTAATGCTATGAGATCAAAAATCATAATCACCTTAAGATATGTTTAACTTTGTCACCTTTTGTGGTTTTATCATTTATGATTAGCATAAGGTTTAAGATGGTCATGCACCTGGCCTTTCTTTACCAAGCTGTAACAAATTTTATAGAATGACTTACTGAACTTCTGACGTTATCCCTCGTATGCATCAACCATGCTATGAACTAAAGAGGTACTGATACCCGTTGAGGCTTATCATCATCAATTGTAAGATTAAAAAAACAAATTTCTCATCTCATCAACCACTAACTTATTCAAGTTGATGAGAGACTGTTGTTCACTGCAACCTATGGGCAGAGTGAAGTCACATACAAAGAACAAATATTTCTATTGTTGTGCTTTATGGGATCCTTTCTTTTCAACATGATATATTGATATATATCCTATCATGCTGTATTAGTTTCCTATATCCATATCTATCATTCCTAGCCAACCAATCTTAGAGCCGAACAACAATTCTTGGGATCTTGGTTAATTCTAACCAAAACCAGATCAATCCTAGTCTACCTAGATTGTCAAATTCCAGTCAACAGTTCAATACCAATGGAAAACCTGATTTCATCCTTTTGAAACCTACTAGCGCTTTAGATCAATGTTATTAAGAGGTGCTCACCTAGGCGCCCGATCGAGGCGACACAAGGCCCAAGTGCCTTCAGTTTGGTTCAAGTGAGCGATTGAGTTGGCTGCGGTGCCTGAGTTAAACCACAAATGGGTTCGATTTGGGTTCAAACAAGAATGACTTGGCCGAACCAATTCAGCCAACTAAAACCTCTCTCTAATTCTGACCAAAACTTCATCATCTCTGCTGCCCTCCACCGCGGCCACAATCTCCCCTACTTCCTCCGCTAACTGCTCATTGGAACAAGGCAGTCGGTGACTGGAAATTGGCATTCGTGCGCAAGGTGGCCCTCAAGCAATGCCTTCCCTTCCGAGCCTCCTCAACAGCCCCATCCCCCTCCTCCTCCGTGCTTCCCCCCTCTCCTTCCCTCCCACTGTCACTCTCCCTCTTTCTCCACCATCGACCATTGCTGAGTCTCCCCGACAGCCCCCCTCTCCCTTCTGCATCCCCCTCCTCCGCAGAGCCTCTCTTATAGCCCCCCTCACCCTTCCTCCTCTGTGCTTCTTCTCCTCTCCTTCCATCCCGCTATCCCCTCCATCTTTCCCCACCTATGTTGTCGCCCCGCCTCCCTGACAAACCCCCTCCCCCTCCATCCCTCCCTGAAAGCTCGTTACAACCGACAACCCCCCTTAGGATGTCCCCACCCTTTCACTCGGGTCTCGCCTCTTTATCTTTCTCCTCCGCTATCACCCCAGCCAAGCCTCCCCGTACCCCGACAAACCCTCCTCCCTCCTCCACCACCACCACCTCCTCCTCCCCGATAGCTCCCCTGCCAATGAACAATTTATTTATATTTCTCTCCTAAAATCCTGACCACCAATATCTTTTTTGGTTACTATAGCAAGACTCTAGAATGTTACATGAAATATATGATGAATGAACTGAACTGATTGGTAATGATGCTTTTATGTCCTTTTAAGTTTTTTGCAAATGATACTTTGTATGATAGATGGAATAGAAAGTCCAGTGTGTAGAAAGGCAAATGCAACAATCAAGCATTTGCCTATAGCTGTACAGCACTAGCATGAACATATGTCCTTAATTATATTTTAGTGATCATATGGAATACTAAGCATTTGCAAATGATTTTTTAGTGATCATATTTTTCCTTTAAATTTTTTATAATTTCAATATTTGCAAGTGCCTCACTATGCTCGGGTGAGCACGTAGCACCTTGTGCATTTTGACACCTCAGTGCCTTTTAGCAATCTGTAGCCAGATGTTACGCACTTATGTTATGCCTCACCTAACTATCTAATTAGATTGGCCTTCTTAGTTCTGTTCGGACATTGAAGCTAGTTCCACACAAGGATCTCATCCCTTCTTTGCTAGATCATCCATGACAAACTCATCAGCAGATTCAGCTCCCTCAGAGATATCTGCTACCTTAGAAATAAGCGACTATAAGGCCCTTGCGGCACAGTAGTCAACCTTGGTCCCAGGTGGAAATCCAATCCTTTCAATGGTAAGGGCAACCTAGCACCTTTGACTACACTACTTTAGATGGTAACTAGAGTTTATCATTCATATCAAGCAAATTTATGATATGCAGAAAAGAAATTCCCTTATTTATTGCATGGGTATATGGAACTTACGCCCTAAATTAGTTCTAAGTTCGTCAAAACATCGTAGCTACAAAGCCATGTGAATTAGTAAGTCAACCATATTCAACTGAGATTTGACCACCTTAAAATCCAAAAGAAACAAATGAAAGAATAATATTCATTCAACAGAATGAATAAGATATCAAGATAGAATGGATACTTACCAGAAAAATGCGCTGAAGTTGTGATGTTGTACCTGCAAATTTAATCTTTTGATCCTTTCTTGTTAAATTCCTACAATAAGGGCAGTTCATATGTAGCGGTAACTTTCTGTTCAAAAGAGAAAATGCAGATCCACCATCATCAAGCCTAACATGTAAAATATTTCTGTCAAGCTTTTGCTCATAGCCTGCAGGTAATGGAAGTCCATTAACAGGCTCAAACCATTCAGCGCCATATCTGGATAATAGTGTGATTCTACCTTGCTGTTCATTACATTTAGCTGATGTTTCCATGGACTTTTGAGTTTTCTTCATGTTATTTACAGTGGAAGTTGTTCCAGATAAGTTTTCTGGAACTTTCTCATACAAACCAGTCTTAGTATCTGAATTTTGACCAGAATCATCAGCAGAGGAATGTAATTTATCTGCCAAAGAATATGAAGACTCAAGCTCTTTCAGGTGCTCTGGAGATATCAGAAACCGGTGACCGAAGGAGCACTCATGTTCAAATCCAACATACACGATGACTTGCTTTGAATGATTATCCTTTGGAATTTTTTCACCACCAATATTTACTGGCACTATGTTGCTCCCTATCTGCAAAACAGGGTTGCCTTCAGTTTGGCCTTTAGTACCTGATCTGGTTATGCTTTCATGTGAGAACGTATGTTCAGCTTTTTGAGGTCCTTCATGATTATCAGCTACAGAAACTCGATGCCCATTTTGATGGGGAACACCTAATTTTCTCACAATTTTTTCTGTGTTTTCTTTTGGCAGTTTTTTCTGCTGAAGACTTGGAAATGGATCTACACTATTATTACCAGCAACAACTTCAGAGAAAGGCTTCTTCATAGGAAAAGATGGAAGACCCTTCCCAAAGCTAATACTTGAGTCCTCAAGGGGCACCGCCTCCGATTTCTTTCTAAAATTTTCAGATGCTCCAGACTTAGTTTCTCTCTGCAACTGACCAGCACCAGTTTTCTTTACGTCATCATCTAAAACAGGCGAAAGCTTACATTCTGGAGTTGAATTTGCAAAAGAAGACTTGCCCACTGTATTAAAAAGCAAGCTATTTGCTCCCTTTTGTTTCTCAAGAGAAATTGTCCACTTAAGCAAGTACTTTTCAGTGGAGGAGAATCCAGTTTGAAGCAAGCCCTTTGATGGTTTATAATATCTTCCTCCAGCTATGCGCATCAAACGCCATGAGTTCTCAGAAAGAGGTCTTACATGACTTCCTCTAGGTAATATAAGAGTTGGAAGGAGATCTTCACAATTGGCAAAGCAACTGAAAGTTATGTTTGCACTCTCAAAATCAAAAGGATCATCACGAAGTTTTCTTGATCGGCCGCAAGCACAGGCATGCAGAAAAACATATCCGCTGGAGTGTTGTTTTTTGTCATCATGTATCTGGTGCATGCATGGCTTTCCTGTAAGACTAACAGCATCACAGAGTTGTCTTCCTGATTCCCATATTGTCGTGCACTCCTCTTCCAGCTTCCTTGAAAATTTTTGCATGGCTGGTCCTTTAACCATGGAATTGAAAAAGTGCAAAGCCCTCTCCAAATGGGCCTTATGCAAAGAAGTTGGATAAAAAGGAGGTAACTCATTTAGGTATACTTTCTTAGCAGCTGGGAGAGCTCTTTGACACCAAGAAATAGAAAACTTCAAGTTCAGGTCCTTGCTACTTTCCAGACAAGATATAGCTGCTTCAATAGATTTAGCATCTTCAAGAGAAATTTGTTGATCCTGCATCTCATTGGCATGTTTTTCAAGGAATGATCTCTTAACTTTTCCATCTTCATCTAGAAAGCTGTCTTCAACAGAAAGCAATGAATCAAGGATCAGACTACTAAGAGACAACCAGCGTTCCAGACTTGGGAGTTCAGGAGCACTAACAGGCTTCCCAGCTGCAGCTGATGCTGCTGCAGCTGCTGCTGCTGCTGCTACCATTCCCACACCAACTACTGAACCACTACTCGCGCTACCTGGTAACCCTCCTCTACCTCTTAAAGCGTCAACCTGCCTGTACAGAAAATCCTTGATTGACTGAATATCCTCATTATTCAAATTCTGGCAATGGTTTTCAAGAGAGAACACATCAATTGCACGTTTTGAATTCAATGCATCCTCAATAAGCCCTGTCATAAAATCAAGTGATTCACCTCTTTGGATCATAGACCTATCTACCAGTGAAACAATCCTTGATGCATCAAGCAAAAACAAGGGCAGGTTACTCAGACTACCGGCACCTCTTGGACCAAGATTACTGTGTTCTGTGCCAACCAATGTTCGGCATTTCTTTATCAAAAATCTGACTTGTGACTCTAGTGATGATTGCAACTTTTTCTTGAAACTACCTTCATTTTTACTAGCCGGGTGTGTTAGCACTACCACAGGACCAGAACCTTTTACGCTTAAACCAGGCTTCGACGGTCCACCTACGCTTGTAAGCTGAGTAAGAGACATTGCATCACCAGAATCCTCAGCAATGGGGGAAGGATTGGACCCATCAAATAGGTCATCAACAAACACAAAGAGAATGACAGGAGTACACTGGCCTGGAAGCACAGATGAATTACTCCCTGAACCCGACATTAAAGAGATGGATGAACCATGGCGATTTGAGGCTCCACTACGTCGGCTGGGAGGAGATATGGAAGTGACTCTAGCTGCATTGGGAAGCAAGATGGCTGAAGTGGTTTTCGATAATGTCGGTGCAATTTTGGATCTTACAAAAGGGGCTAAAGCATGCTTTGCATTTTGCAGCATCCGGAACCTTTTTAAGATCTGGGTATCAAATCGGGCACCATCTTGAAGAAATATAATCACATGACAGACCTGATTTGAATTAAGAGCATTAAATTAGAATTGCAGTTACAACTATTAGCAAAATCACAACTTGAAAGACCCGTCATTTTCGTAATCATGAATTGTACAAGCAATGCAAAGAAAAATGCAACATATACAAGTTTTTAATCCAAATTCCACTAACTTAGACTTCCATGAAACCAAGAAAACCTAAACTCAGTCTTGTATCCAAAAAACAACAATAAATTCGTAGCACTTTCTGTTAGTGGTTGGAGTTATATTTCACTTCATAGAATCCAATACAAGCCAAATCTGTAATCCTGGTCTCATATAATCTCCACCAAATCAACAAATAAATCAAACCGTAAACAGATCAACCCATATTTCCGCTGCCGATACCTGTTTGGATTGATAGGAGAAGGCAATCAAATAGCAGATGTCCTAAACAATCAAACGGAAAAGTGACAACCAAACGAGAACCTAAAAACTCACGGAGAACATGAACAGCATCCCCCGGAGATCATCAGCATCACAGGTTTCCAAAGCCGAAACCGACCTATACCCCTCGTCATCTGTTCTAGAGGAGCACAGCAACGAAAACGGCGACAAAGACGACGAGAACTGGAGGAAGACCACCCCTTTCTCTTTCTCAAAGTGAAAACTGATCCTGCGGCGGCGGAACCACTCCTCCACCTGCCCGCTTGACTCGGACCGAGAAGCGAAGAGATCCTTGTCGAGGTTTCCGCAGCCGAAGACGTTCGCGTCGAGGATCCTGTTGATCAGATGGGTAGCGTCGGTGCTTGGCCTACTGCCGAGGAAGCCTACGACCACGACGCCTTCGGGATTAGAAGGAGAAGGAGATGGAGGAGGAAGAGGAGAGGAAGAAGGGTTGCTGACGGAGATGCTGGCGGCGGCGGGGGCAGCGGTGGGGACGGGGCCAACGGAGGTGGAAGAGGAAGCAGGAGAGGTGGAGGATGCAGTTGGAGGTGGGGTACGGACGAGGACGCGGATGGAGGGGGAGGAGGAGGAGTTGGGGTGCGCCATCTGCGGGCGGCGCGGGCGTGGGATAGTACAACGGGCGGCGGCGATGACCGGCTCTTTATCTCTCTCTCTCTCTCTCTCTCTCTTTTTCGGGCTACACTGTACACGGACTTCACATGGTTGGGTCCGTTTGGGCTCGGGACCGAGTCAGATGATACCTATATAACAAATAATTATATTTATATATATATATATAATTAAAAAGAACTAAATATAAAAAAAATTAAATTTTAAAAATAGGTATATAACTATAATAAGCATAATAATAATAATTATATAAATAAATTATAATTTTTTAATCAAACTAAAATATTATTATTATTATTATATTTTTATTATATTTAATCGGTTTGAAATCGAAACCACTAATATGGAATCGGAATCGTCAGTAATTAGAAATCGAAATCGTACCGCTCATCATCGATTCTGATTTTATTTGAGACCGTGGAACCGTTAGATCGATTTGATTTTGGTTAAAATTGAAGCAGCATCAGAATTATTTTGGAGCGAAACAACGCGGCAAAGTATGGCGTTAGCTCTTGAGAGTCCAATTGAACCACCCATTTGCTTGGCCCTATCGAGGTATGCAAGAATGGCAAAAGCCTCCTCTTCGACGGGAGAGTGCAAGGATCAAAGCTTAGCAGTGACAGTCATTGAATTGATAGTTCACCTTAGATTGAATCGTACTCAGAAGAATGCAAGCGAAGAAGATAACACATACGGCAGGGATCCAATCAGCTATAGGCAGTCCACTCACTCTATGACAATCAGCTTGCCAAGAATCCCTCCCGAGTGGGTAATGCTTTGGATTACCATTTTGGTATTGCTTCTTCTTACTATTGTGTTGTTGGGAATGCAATTTTTCGATCATACATCATAAGTTTCAAGTGAATGCTTTCTTTTTTGTGAGTCTGTTCTTGAGAGAAGGAGAAAATATACATGATGAGTTTAGGATTTATGGTGCCGAGTTGAAATGAGAGAGGAAAACTTTATTATTAGATCATGTGAAAGCTCAGTGTCTGAATCAGACTTGCATCACAAACAAAATCGGTGTCTTCATGCAGTAGATATATCGATTCACACTCGTGACGACGATTACTTTGAGCTGATAGGATCCATAACACATTTCCACAGGCACACAACGATTCGAAGGGATCCAACGACGACGACGACGACGATCGAGGAGGAGGAGGGAGGAAGAAAAGGAATGTGAAGGCAAAAACTCAAAGGAAGACCTTGGCCACGTCCTTCATGAGGCCAGGGTTGGCGCGGCAGAAGGCGCCGAACTCCTTGAAGTCGATGTTGCCGTCGCCGTCGGTGTCGATCTCGGCCATGGTGCGCTTCACGTCGTCGGCGGAGGTAGAGCCCAGCGTGCGGAGGACCTCGGCGAGCTCCGCCAGCGAGATCTTGCCGTCGCCGTTGGTGTCGAAGCGCTTGAAGACCTGCTCCATCTCCGGCGAAACCTCGCCCATCTTCTGTCCTGCGATCGATCGATGCTGCGTGACGTGTTGCTTGAGCTGAGGGGGCGGGAGGAGAGTGAAGGGAGGAGCGAGCAGGGGGATCATAAATGGAGGGCGTGGCCTGAGAAATTGGTGGATCGCCCTCGCGAAGCGGAGATCGGGTGGTGGTGGTGGAGTTCGCGTGGGTCCTTGTGCATGCAGACGAGCGAGCGGCCATGCCCCCCGAATCTATGTAATTACGGTCAAACCCCCACAAACGTCACTGACTCCATCGTCACCATCCTATCAAATTATTGATCACTGTTTGTCAATCTAAAAGCTCATATAATGAAACGTGATTTGGAATCAGGAGTTCCAATCACGTGATAGGGCATGATACAGTACACAGTAGTCCTACGCCAATCTCAAAGCACGGATGCGAATCGAACGTTGTGTTGGATCCGATTTATTACGAACCCAAAGTGGCCCACACCCAAGACTCGGTGATTAACTGTCTTCACGGGTTTAGGGTTGGGCACATGGTCGGCAAAAGAAGCCATTGCAAGGGGACCCTCTTCCAACGTCATGTTTGACATGTAGTCGCGTCGGGATCTCGGTGTCATTAATCGATCGGATAGTTCATAGATACACTAAGCCGACAATTTTGATCGGTCCATGTTAATTTTTACCGCATGTTCATGGAGTTTGTAGCATCAGCCATTGTGTCGTGCTCCTTTAGGAAGTGGAGAATGATGCTGTGTTTATTTTATTTCATTCTTCCTTGTTATTATATACACAATTACTGAAAAACTATTATCAAATCTTATGAATATAAATTTATTGTTCCATTAGTCTAGTTTGTTTTGTGGGATATGTTCTTATCACAACAATAATAAACCTTATGAATAGTATTTATGTGAAATGATAAGAAGAGAGGAGAAGGATCTAGTTCTCTTTGTAGATTGATATCTCAGATCCGACGATTGAAGCGTTTGTATATCATATAAGGTTTATTCTTCTGAACAACAATGAAAGATACGCATCGTAATATATTGTTAGATCTAATTTTATTTGATTTCAATCTTGGCATAAAATTTTTTTCGTATTACAGATAGCATGATTACAGATTTTATGCTAATATTATCACCTAATTGGTTTAGCTTTTGCCATCTTTGTTTCTTGTTTTAGCTTTAACCTTTCTCTATTTCATTTTGTAGGGTTTTGTGTTGTACTTCTTATGTGTATACTTGAACTAGATTATTGTTTCCCCCTTCTATCTCCTAAAAGAATCACACCATCCTTAAGAGAATGCTGCATAAAGGCCTAATAATCTAAAGATGTAAGTCATCTTGCAAGTAAATTGGAGTCACGTTTTTATACTTCACAAAAAAGTTCTTATGGATATTGGGTGTTCTTGCATGTTGTTCCACACACACTTTCATATCACATTAATGAAACTAGCAGCTGCAGAGTTGCCTGTTAGATTGCTGCCCTAAATCCAGCAATTGAGTCCCCATGCCATTATTTTGGACCTTTCGGTGGATTACTTTCGGATGCTAACAAAACACTTACAGCTTAGGTATGTATATTGACTTGGATGCCTGGATCTACCTTCTCATCACCCAATGGATGAGGGCAAGAGCACAGATGTGGTTGGATGGCTACCTGATAGGTCAAGCAAACCAGACATAAATGTTTTATTATTGTTATTATTTTACTAATATATCAAAAAATTAAACAGATGGCAAAAAAAAAAAGGTGAAAAAACAAAGTGTGATAAGGGAACAGGATACATTAATGAGATATTATACCAACTATCATAAGTGTCAGACATTAATGAATAGTCTCACTGTTTCAGTTTGTTCTCATCTTGAAAGTGAAATAAATTTGAGTGGATTCATAGCTGACTAAATTGATATAGTATAGAGTTAGATTTCATTACTCTTTTTGTATCATTTCCACCTAATCCTTTTTTTGGGGGACTTATCTTCATCTAAATTTGCCTATCGGTATCCACCGCTCAAGTTTTCTTGTGATGGTAACCGTTCCATCTTCCTATTTATACTCACCTTTCTTCCCTGTAGTGTCACAGCTGGTTGAGCTCCCTCCATGGCTCTCCTCCTCTTCTCCTCCATTCTGCTCTCCATACTACAATGCAGCAGTGCTCAGCCCTCCCCTGGCTACTACCTAAGCAGCAGGTTCAAGCCTTTGCCTGGCTTCTACCATGGATACAACACTCTGTGGGGGCCCCGGCATCAAACAGTCTCAGCAGACCAGTCCTCGGTGGCCATCTGGCTCGACAGGAGCTCAGGTCTGCTGCTCCTCCTCCTCCCTCACGGTTCATCTCAGTCTCATGTTAACCCTGCCTCTGCTGCATCGATAACAGGCAGCGGATTCAAGTCGAATCGCCCATTTCGAAGCGGCTATTTTGCGGCATCGATCAAGCTCCAACCTGGCGACACTGCAGGAGTGATCACAGCTTTCTACGTGAGTTCTTTCTTGGCCAACTCCCGTTGCCGTCTTGCTTGCTTGCTTGTGCATCATTCGACATTGTGCTGCAGCTGTCGAACAACCAAGTGCATCCTGGGTTCCATGACGAGGTGGATATCGAGTTCCTGGGGACTACTCCGGGGAGGCCATACAAGTTGCAGACGAATGTGTACGTCAAGGGGAGCGGCGACGGCCGGGTCATCGGGAGGGAGATGAAGTTCCACCTGTGGTTTGACCCTGCTGCTGACTTCCACCACTACGCTATCCTGTGGAACCCAAATGAGATCATGTAAGACTTCATGCAGAGAGGTTGCAAGCTTGAATCATGAAACTACGTCTCTCTCCAACTCTCCGTGCATGCAGATTCTTCGTCGACGACATACCGATACGGCGGTACCCGAGGAAGAGCGACGACACGTTCCCGCTGCGGCCGATGTGGGTGTACGGGACGATCTGGGACGCGTCGTCCTGGGCCACCGACAACGGCAAGCACAGGGTGGACTACCGCCACCAGCCGTTCGTCGCCAGGTTCACCAGGTTCGTCGTGCGAGGCTGCTCCGCGTACGCGCCGTCGGGGTGCCGCCCTGTGCCGTCCTCGCCGTCCGGATTCGGGCTCAGCAAGCAGCAGCTCGCCGCCATGGCCTGGGCGCAGAGGAACTACATGGTGTACGACTACTGCAGGGATGACCGGAGGGACCGTTCCTTGACTCCCGAGTGCTGGGCTTGACGCCGCTGCAAGTAGTCAGTCACATGGGAGTGTTTAGTGTTGGTTTTAGGGGACTGATGGGGGAGAGGAAATACCGCCATGAAATAATTCGTGGTTGCTATTGGTCGCATGATGAAGAAAGCCTGTAGAGAGGATAGAAGAAGAATAACTCACAGCCTCTCAAACGCGTCGTACTGTAAGCGCGTCGAAGCCGCGTTGCCCAGTGACTGTTCTCTGTTTTATTCCATTGTCTTTTGTCTCGTATGGCTTGGCTTCGATCGACCTCGACATCTATATAAATCACAAGAACTCTAAACGGAATTCAGTACGCAATAATAATTTGTAATGTGTAGATGAATTGCAAGTTAGAGGATTTAGTAGGGCAGACAGAAGAATGAGATCACCTACAATTATATCTGAACAATTGATCAATGCCTGATTGAGGTACACCGCATGCAGAAGTTGGTAAGTGATAGTTTGGAAACGAGTAAACGAGGCTGCGGGAATGTACATAATCATATCACTACTGCCTGCTAAAAGGGAACATCGATGTGTACATATCACTTCCTGCTAAAAGGAAGACAAGCATACCGGTGTAAAAGGATATGACTACACATTATGCACATAGGGCCACAAGGAACAGATGATTACCAAGCAAACTTACTGGGTGGCGGAGTGCGTCTTCGCTTTGTGACTTCACCTCAGACCACCTTTCTTGGGCAGCAGCCAGCTCAGTCGTCCCAGAGATTATGCACTGTGATTTCAATAGAAGAAGATGGTTAAAGCACACCACAAAAGTTGTACATAAATACTCGAAAATGGCAACTCAGATCACACTGCATGTGCAGTTTTAACGTTGCACTTATACAGACTGTTTCCACAATAATAACAACAACAATGATAACAACATTATAAATTATTATCATCCTAACTTGAGATCATCATAATACCCCACTTCAACAAGTACGGGTTACAACAAGGAAGTTAGTTCTCTGGCCCATCCGGCACAAGACGTGATTTGGAGTTGAAGTGGGAAAGAGCATGGTGGTTTATAGAAATTAGCCTGCAGCAATGTCATTCCTCACGCATGCTGGGCAAAGCTTTATGTTAGATCTAATCTTTGAGTCTCCTGGCAATTACAAGCTATTACAACGTGTACATCACAGTACAGTTTTGAGACTTTGCAGTTAGCTTATAGTTTGTGCAACAGCACGAGGGCAGACTCCTATTTGGCAGGCTGAACGTGTGGGCAGACTCGTGGTGGCTCGCCTTGTGTCCACAAGTTTATAAGTTCACCTCTTTTCCGCCCAAGAGCCAAGAAGGTGCCTGGTGCAGAATTTGAGGATTTCACAAGTTAGTAATTGCAGTAGAAGCAAAAGGTATTTCTTACTGTTAATCAATCCTCCAGATATCATTGATACATGCATGTTCAATTTACCAAATGAACATGTATAATGTTTAGAATCAAACTAAAATTTCCAGTTAACAGGAATTTCTCTGAACTTTTATAGGCTTATCAGATCTTCACTTACCCAAAGTGAAGGGCACAATGTAAAGTAGAGCCGGTTGACCGTGTCCGTCCATTAAGTTCAAGGCAACATATGTAATAAGAAGACCTGCAGAAACATGGACAGCCAGATCTCGTGACTGATATGAAATAACAGCAGCATAGTGAATCCAGATTATAATTCCATGTAATTTGCGCTCGATACACTTCATTTTCAAAATATGTTGTTCAATATCCAGAAATTGGAGGTATTTAACTGGAACATTAAATAAAGCTAGAAAAGAGACAATGAAGAAAAGGTTGTAATATCACCAGTTAAACTTTTCAAGATGAATGAACCAGGAATTGTTGAGAGTTAACACTATCACGGGAACCATGTATGATAATGTAAATCAAAACTAAAGAGCTCAGTTTGGAAATAAAAAACCAAAGCCAGCCCTTTAGTTAGAAAGATAGATTAACCAGAGATATCAGGAGGCCTGCAACAAATGGTTGGACTAAGGTTCCATGGTTACATTATGCTTTGTCAATGTGAACAACACAAGCAATCATCCTTTTGTGCTAACATGAAAAACAATCTGATAGTGACATGATAGTGAGTGGCAGATCATCCAAGACCATCTCTGTTGCATAACGATTTCAAAAGGGCCAGTGTTTTTTAGAATGATGCAAGTCACAAGTAAGAGCAATGAATTTCATCAAAATGCAGATCAAAACAACTTGTTGCCTATTTGTTTATTAATGAATTTCATAAGAAAAACTTGTTGCCTATTTGTTTATTAATGAATTTCATAAGAAAAACTTGTTGCCTATTTGTTTATTAATGAACACAAACTTGTTTATTCTTCTTGTGATAATCCCAATTTTTCTGACATACCATGCTCCTCTATACAATACCAGGAATTGTCATCTTACCAGAGCCATAAGCCACCATTGACCACAAGAAGTAACCAGCTCGTAAGCTTTTCTTCGCAGCCCAATCATATCTGATTATTGCATGTAAAAAAGAGTTAACTAGTGAAGGAGAATTGGCTGAAAAAAACCTGCATATTGTCTAAGCTATTTGAATAATTTGCGTTCAAACAGAAGTTATCAGAGCATTATAGTAGATGAACAGTAGTATGTTAAGAAATGACAAAAATAAAATAAATAAATAAAATAAAAGCTAATAGCATATAGGACCGTACATCTGATGCCCAGTGGAAAACAGATCTACTAGAAGCATCAGCCCCTGGAATTATGTCCAAGTAGTTTACAAGAGGCAAAAACATAACTGAAATCTTCACAAAATAGATAGAATATTACTCATCGTGTGACAAAATTTTAACCATCCCTGGAACAAGATAGTTAAATGAGCACTTAATTAGCACCCTCTGCAAAAAACACTCCCCATAATATAATATTTTAGACAACTATTGACATGATTCTGTAATGCTCAACTTAGAAGCACCAGGATGTCCCATAGATAAAGCACAGATATAGCAAGCACATAGCGGGCATCTCTTGAGGGGGCAAGTTCTGACATTTGTTGTCCTATTGACCACAAAGTTCAATGGAACAACTCCAGCCCCCAGTATTGCAAGTATTATAGGTTAATCATTGCAGGTAACAAAATAAACATAAGGCCTGTAAGAATGGTCAGTACAACAAGTTGGTGTTGGTAACAGGCACATGCATCTAAAGGATGGATGGAATACTTAATTGTAGGTATGGAAATTTACATCCAGGGATGTGAAAAGTACACAAATGTAAAGAGCATTCAGGAAAATTTTAATTATACTGTATATTTCTTATGCCAGGTCTATTTGAGTTTCACTTGCTAATGTTATGGTTGTCACTTACATCAGAAAGGACAACCATTCCAATAGAAATATTCAGAAAATATATCAAGAGTTTTTTTTTTCCATTTACCTTAATGAAAATGCAATCAGCAGCCCAGGTAGAAGGATATCACCAAAGCCTATGATGCTATATCCACCCCATGGATCAAAGAGACGTGGTATCTTAAGTAGCATAGGTACACCATCCTCTGCAGTCCTATCACCTCGTGCCACCTGTGAATAAATAATGAATAATTTTATTATTCAAATTATTAAAATTATGTTTCAAACTGTTCGTTGCACCTAACTAAATATTTGTGTATAACAACACATACCACAATCATTACACTTTCATGGAACCAACTCTTCGAGATGAAGACCCAAAAGATGTCGTACAAGAAGGCACAACTGAGAAGCACGGTGCCCACCTGAATATCCAAGTCCAAATGCAAATTTCATGGCATACACAAATAAATCAGCAACAAAGAGGAAACATTACTGAAAAACTACCAACAAAACTTTTACTACTACAATTTTCTCAAGTTCACAAAGGACTGCACATATATCACATCAGGATATGCATGTAAACAGAATCCAATAAGATGGACGATAACTATATTGTAGAATAGACATATTTCAAAGTGAATGATGTAACTAGGAAAAATCTCAAAACGAAATAAGCAATCATCCATGTAAAGGTAGCACTGATTTGGAGTAAGATGACAGGAAAAAATTCAAGGTGGTTCAAGTATGTAGATAATAGAGTACCACTACAAAGGAGCAAAGTCTACTAAAGTAGATACAGAAAGAAGATAAGTGAAGATGCTTGGGTAGCAGTGAGAGGTAATATGAAGGCAGTAAAAGAACTTAAACAATGGAGGTAAATGGAGGGAAAGAATCCATGTAGGCCACAGGAATACATCAAGCTTCAGATACACAAACTTGTTGATCAAGGATCTCCAGAGACTGAAGCTGAATTTTAGTTTTCAATGGTCAATTGGCTTAATGGCATGTTATTAGCTCAAACTCTTGGAGTATAAAAACAATAGATCCATCTGCATCAGAAATGGAAGCCATGAAGCACGAATGCTGATACCATATGGGCATACCAATAAGTCAAACCTTGAAAAAATAGGATGAAACATCTAAGATGTCATTATCACAGCTATAAAAGATGCTTTCAAGTTTCTGCAAGAATATGTAGTTACACCTAAAAAATAATAACAATTATCAAACCAGCAACTATTTCTGTATCCTGAATGCTTTTTGTTAAAGCATTCATTTGTTATACTTGTGCCACCTAGAATAGCAGAATACTAAACCTTTTGAATCCCAAACATGGTAAGTTAAAGCAGACATTTGTCATCCTCAAAGAACAGAACCTCATGAAGAAGTGATGACTTTAGAATCATGCACAAAGCAACATAACATCTTACTTCTTAACAAGATATTAATTGCACGCCAAACTAGGAATACTAAGGAAAGGGGAACTATGATAACAAATCACAAGAGCAACAAACTTATCAAATGCTCTAATATTATAAGCTCAAAATTCAAGTGCTGCAACTTCTAGCAACATGACAATATATAACCGCTTGCATAAGCACCTAATGTCTATGACTTCTTTACCTCCCCACAAACCAAAAGCCTTGACCAGGACAAGCTATGTCATTCTTGTATCTTAAATTATGCCACAAATATTGACAATTATAACTAATTCTCCATTTCGATAATGTGTTCCACGTAAGAGGTATCAGTCAGTTGAAAAACTGACTATAAAATTGCCAATCAGAAGAACTATGCTGACATGCACCATTTAGCTTAGTTTATACTATGTGGTGAGAGGTGGCTAGAAAATAACTCCAGTATCAGTTTCTGTTTCATGCTGAAGAGGCAAGTTCTTCACATTTTCTGCCACCTGAAACACAGTGTGGTGCTGAGACCTGAAACCTAGGATGTAGGCAACAGAGTTCAACCTCGATGAAGTCCAATCTATGATATAGAAAGAGAACCTTGGTTTTACAGACTTCACTATGTAACTCTGTTTTGATTTTCTTGATGTAGAAATCAGAGGTTTTCACAATCTTTGTTTTCTGAACCTGCAAATGCACCTTAAAATTCATGGTATAAGGTGTTGATTATTCAAAACAACAGACACCTTCAATTAATTATTAAAAGGGGCAACCGCCAACATCAACATGACATACATAAAAATGGAACGTAGCAGTTGACCACAAACAAAGAGAGAAGCTTCTGCCAATAATTGCAGGTCACCTACATACATAGCAAATGGCCATGTGATGGGTGCATCAGACAAACTAAAATTTTCAAATGTTAGAAAGCTTAACATCAAAATAATACTATTTAAAGTTCTTATAAACTTAAAACCATGTACAAGCAGAATGACCTAATATGTGTTATAGCTATATTATAGAACTCTCAACAAAATATCGCAAAATTTAGAATTGTACCTATTATGCTTTACTTAAAGAGTTAAAATGTCAATAACCTGTCAAGCAACCATTAATAACAATCTATAAAATGTGTCCAGTTGAAAGAAAAACAAAAACTAACCTTAAGATTAGGTACCCGGACAATTTGGAGAACTGTAATAATCAGTGCAATACCCTAGTAGAGAAGGTAGAGAATCAGAAATAAATCAATGGAAATGACAAAATACCAATGCAGGTAAAGCATAATAGTGTAAAATGTTCCTCGGTACATCTTGAAAATTTCGATTTGCAGTCTTATGAAAATTGAAATATAAAAAATAGAACTTAAATGTATATAGTCAAAAGTAGCAATTTAAACCAGTCTCTATTAATCATCAAGTGTGTCTTGCACAGAATTAATTTTTTTAGCCTCACTGAATTCTGCAGAAGCAAGAATACCTAATTTCTATGTTTAGAAGCGAAAATAGATATCTATGTTTTTAAGTTTGAGAGAGCTAAGAAAATTTAGTTAGAATTAATACCAACATATTTGACCACTCTTATTTTGATTAAAGGTACTGCCCCAGACAGAGCTTAATGGCAGGGAAAAATCTATGAAGATATGTATAATGTGTTAAAAACAACAAAACCAGTTTCTTACCAGGATATCTTGGCCGATCCAAGCAAAGGATACTCGACGATAAACAGCCCATACAACAGCAAAGACAATGCAGAATGGAGAGACAGCCAATGTAAGGTAGGAAACAGCTCCAAAAAAGGGCACTTTAATGTAAGACTCTCCAGCACGTTTGAACCATCTGAAAATTTCATATATAGTTTAGGTAAATTTATATATCAGCAAACATGCAAGTCACAAATAATCTGAAACAACTAGGACTGATGCTGGCAACAAACCATAGAGAACTATCCATGATGTTTGGTAATATAGTTAAGCTAAGACAATCAAGTCATTAATGAAATCATACTCTAGTAATTTCCACCTTCAAGTTCGTTATTTGTCAAGTGAGGTCAAAAAAAGTCCCTTCGTCAAGATTGAATCAAGTACTGAAGTATCTGCTTATGTTGGACTTTGTTGTTTATTGTAACACTAACATCACCATTTGCATAGTAATGCTTTTGTGATGCATCTCATTTCCAGACAATAGTAGTCGTAACTTAGCTGGAGAGGGATCCAGTGGAGCATCCACAAGAGGAAAATTTCTGAGCCAATTTGGTTCTTAAACAACTGACCACATAGGTTGATGAAAGAAACAATTGAGTAGTGCAGGTAACTCCATTTTCTATCTTCACCTCATTTTGTTCTCTATCCTTCTCCATAGAGGCAAACATTGTTATATCTGTTGACATTTTATATTATAACTCTGCTGCAGAATGCTTATTATTTTTGAACCTTTGTATGTTGCTGTTATTTTATTTAATTAATTGATGATACATAATATTACAGCTTAGTTGCATCCAGTACAATCTACCATGTTTATAATACAAAAGAAGAACAAATATCTAATTTTTCTAGAGCCTTAGACTTGCTTTCAGGTTCTTTTCAGTTGTTCCTGCATCAGAATTGGTTAATTGAGCTCCCCATTGCCATCATGGTTTATCATGATGCCTGGTCTAGGACCTGGTGATCATATAAAAACTATTAGCCTACATGCTTCTTGGAATCCACGAATGCTAATCATGTGCAACATCCCTTTCATATGATCTACTATCTCCAGTATTCATTGTTCTTAATCCGATTTATTATACGATCAACCTCATGAATTGGTGTTCAAGTTGCAAACTCAGATTAATAAGGTAAAAACCATAAGTGAGGATATACGTGTAAAAAGTAGAGAAGAATCAGACAAATAGTGCAAATGGTAAAGAATCAAGAACATAGAACACCAGACATCTTATGTGGTTTGGCAGTATGTCCACATCCAAGCATTGTTTACTTAAACCAGCTATAGGAGTAACTAAATGCATAAGATAGACTGTCTATAACCATAAAAGCAAGGATCTTATATTAGCGTTCTTTGGCCTCAGTTAACATGAATTTAGATAATGCATGGAGTCACTCACTATATTAATGAACTTCACTATATGAATCACAGAACTAGTCTCAAGGATAAAATTGAAACTCATACACATCATTAATGCATCAAGATATATTTCTTGATAGCACCAGTAGATATGGGACAGGAAGAATCAAATCTAACAGAATAGAATTATGCCTCATGAAAATAAAATATTAATCTTAATTTTCTATTACAATCTAATTTTCAACATTGAGTTCCAAGAACCAAACATTAGATAAATAAACATGTAATAGTACTTAGAAATCAAAAGATTTAGTGTCATTGCCCCCAACTGAGCATGATGAAAGAATATACTCCATGTATGCAAATGCAAATAATTGTTTCATTTGTAAAATAATTTAACAGAAAATTTGTTCCAGCCTTTCAAATGATATGATACCAAGGAGTTATAAGACACTAGTATACCGTGATAACAAAGCCACCAAGCATGTTTGTAGACCCTGAAGCAAAACAACATCAGCCAATTAATATTGTTATGCAAAAGTAAGACATTTAACTTAAACAGTTGCAACACAGCTAATAAATTAATGTCAAACTCTTTTAGATTTATTCAAATAATCAACAACTTTATTCTCTTTTCTGAATAATAAACAAAGAAAGATTCCTAGATCAAGATTATGGCTTCATGATTATCTTGTATTAAAATTAAATAAAACTTGAGCAGTGCAGAACACAATATCTTATGTTATCTTGAACTCCAAAAACCTCAAGCGATAAAAGAGCTGATCAAAGGGCTTCAAAAATCAGAATCATATGCAAATTCTACCTATGTTGAAGAAAAAAAGTAAAGACCAGTTCTAAGATTGAATGCTGGTGTCATGTAATATCTTCAGCCTCAGAATGCATGCTGCTAACATTTATTTTGGCTTGCATCAAGTTCTAGCCACTAGTTGAAGGATATGTATCAGAACTATATACTTGAACATTCAAGAGACCAGCTAGGTTAAATTTATAGTTAACAAATAGTAACTGAAAAGGTTTCAGAATAACTTCAGAAAAATTGTCTTGCATCAAAAGCAATAATTATTAATAAAAAAGAAAAGGACATATAGGATAAAGGTAATGAATTGCACCTCTACACCACCAATGCAAAAAAGAACCACCAAAAGCTCCACAAACCAGAATGACATGAGTTTGTAAAGTAAGATTAAGAAGCATGAAGCAATCACAACAAACAAAATTGCTGATGTTGTGTTGATGTCCACCACACCGCTGGATCCTGTATTTTCCATGTTTAGTAACTCGTCTGGCGCATCCTATGATCATTATTCCATATATCAGTTAAAAAGAAATGTTTTGACAGGTTCACAATAAGCAAAATATGATTAAACAATCTTAGGCAAACTATGTAAGACAAATGAGGACCTTCAATAACTTTTCGTGTTCAATTAATGCTTCTCTAGCACTCCATGCTGACCAATATGATGCACACAAGATGGTACCAATTGCCATAAGCCACAGAAAGACTTCTGCTGTATCAACCAAAGGACGATCTGGAGAGTACAGTTGCACAGATACTGAAGAAATTTCAAACAGTTAGAAACTCCGTTTGGTAGAGTGTCGAATAGAATATCCGATCATCAAATGCCATAAAAACTGTCACATGATATAAAAATATATGTGCTTACAAAATAATAATAATAATAAGTATAAACCAAAAAAATCATGTTCCATAGAAAGAAATTTGCATGCAACATGATACCAACTTCCATATCCCAATCCCAAATTTAGTGTGGTTCCACAACTCAATCCCAAGAGTTCAACTCTATTTGATATAGGGCAGGCCACAATCTATGAACTAGAATAATCAGCCACTATTATACTATCATCATTATGATAATGTTAAGTTACATCTTCATATATATGGTCGTAGAAGAACTGGAAGAATAACCATACTAGAAAGTTTATCATATATAGTAAAACAGGCTACAAAAGAAAGGCTATTAAAATTATGCACAAAATAAAGATGCCCAAATTCAGGGAGATCAGAAAAGTAATCAAGACAACCACCCCTACAATATATGGCAATCATTAAAACTTCAGTTAATCTACGTAAAAATAAGTAGATATGTGCCCCTTGAATAGCTGATATTAAACAGGAAAATTACCTGAGAAACCATGTTTAAGACTGCTTTCCAAGCTAGCCCCTGCATCTTGTGGCAGCATAACTGCAGGAATCTTTATATTTAAATCTGTTTCATTTCGATCACAGACCATCTTGTACAGCTCTGCAGAGTAAATATTACCATCTTGTAACAAAACAAGGGAGAAAATTCTACAGACTTGTGGGTTGTTGTCCTCTGGTAAATTAAAAGCAATGGAGCTTCCAGACATGCACCTCAACATGCTGGGGAAAAGAATACAAGGACCATCAAATAGAATAGCTTGGCACACTATATTTAAAATATCCCGAGTATCACCCAGTGTTACTTGATGATCCTATATCCGACAGGAATAGAATCTCAGATCAGGTTATTGTCTCACAAGCAATAGAAAAGGAAACATACCTTTATGATTATTAATAATTAAGATAGCAGATGCACCAGCAGCTTCTGCAACCTTTGCCTTTGTTGTAAATTTGCAGTGTCCCCGGTGCACTAACAGGACATCTCCAGCAAGCTTACAAAATAAAATTCCAAATCATAGCCTCAGAATGAATGGACTACGAGACTGTATGGATGACTAAAAGAGGACTAGACTCGACAAAAAGCGGGGAAAAAACCTTTTTCGTAGGTGCAGTGCAGCAGTCAGGAGGATCTGAAAGAGTAAGCCGAGTTCGGTTGGCATGTTTTTCTTTTGACACTATGGTAGGGCCAAATCGAGCACCAACGCCAACAAACTCATTATCTTCTGTGTTGTTGATCCAGGTTTGCACTTTCACCTGGCATGAAGCAAGACACAAAATGAGGCCTTATCAAACCAACAAACAAATAAGAGAACCAAATTAGGCTTCGGAAAGAACAAATTGCTTCAAGTTATTTACATGTTCAAAGCGGGAATTGGACAGTAATAATTAGGGAGAAACAAATATTGCATGCACCAGCAACCAGTAATGACATCAAGGCGTGTACGATGACTAATGATCAACTCTGAACATGAAGGGTTGCAACCGAGGGTTTCTCCATGGTAAAAACATGCAAACTATGGAAGATCCCTCGACTAAAATTAAAGAACAGAACTGAGGACTAAGACTGCAGGTGGCGATCGAATCAATTGCAAAGCTGGAGGCATGTGGCAAAGGCAGAACAACATTAGAGGGCACGATTAAACAGTATAACGAAAGGGGGAAGGGATTCTGCTTCGATCTTCCCAAATAACCACCACAAGTCGAGGAGTTTCACGAAATCGCACCAACCAAGAGCAGGATCGAGGAAGAAAAGTTACCAGGACGAAGTTGTTGGAGCATCCGGGCAGCTTCGGGGCCTCGTCGTCCTCGTGCACGATGTCCCCTCCATGGACAAAGCCAGGAGTGAGCAGCACCAGCACCAAAGCCCACATAACCCTTCCCAAATCCATGGAAGGGCCGAAGAACTCGAGCAACACGAAGCACGAAGAAGATTCGAAGAGGGAAGGGACAACGGGGCGGGGGGGGGGAGGGGGTAGGGGGGCGGGGGGCGAAAGAGAGAGAGAGAGAGAGATCTGGTCACCGCTCTCTGTTGGAAGACGACGTCGTCCTTCGGACTCCCTTTTCACATCCAACCGAGAGAGTGCTTAGTGACGTTATTTTATTTAGCGATTTACCGATACTACCCCTCACTTTTGGGCTTTTGCCCATTTATTTATTTGTAAAGGATTTACTTATTAAATTAGTTGACATGTTAAATAATTATTGAATAATATTTCAACCATAAAATGGTTTGTAAAACTATACTGATTGTTTGTGATTGAGATATACAAAAATTATTTTTTTATTTATAATTTTTGTTAAAATCTTTTTTTATCTTTGTTTGTACCATTAATATTAATCCGTTCATCTCTTCTAATGATTATACCTCGTAAGTAAATATTCATATCATCTTTAAATGATTTTATCTTATTTTATTAATTGATACCTAATTATTTATTAAAAAAATATTTATTTTTCTTAACAACCCTATATATCCATCTCAATATTTTCATCTTAACTACACGAACTTTTTATATACATCTGTTCAATTCATCATTATTAGACTAATATTTTTTATAAAATAATACTAATATGATAATAATTTAAACTTTTTAATAAATTTATCAATATTTTTATTTACTTTTTTCATTTTATTTTTCGTCTTTCGTCCCTCATATATTTTTTTGCTGTCGTTCCTTTCTCCAATCTCTTCTATTTCCTTTTTCTTTTGTTCCTTCTTTTCCTCAAACTTCCTATATTCTTCATCTTTTTCACTTCTCCATGCAATCTTTTTTCGCCGCAAAGTATTACAAGGATTTGTTTTCAATTTATGATGTTGATATTTATTCAAATATTTCTTGTTATGATTCAACTAGATTTAGAAAAATAATAGTATTATCTTTTGTATATATCAAAATATAGATCAGTTCTTGCCAACTCAATTGGTTCCTATAATTTAGCAAGCAGTCTGATCGATCTTTTAATTAAATCATGTTGTTCATAGTGCTTGGTCCGATTCTAATAACTATGCTTATCTCATTTTGTTTTCATAGACCTCAATAATTGTTCATATAAGTTCATTTTTAGTATCTTTTAAATATAAATAATTAACAGATTAATGTTATTATATCTACATTTATATATTATTTATATAGACGCATGATAAGAAAAATTAGTATCAGTCTCTGAGAAGGTATCATGTTGTGTAATACTTGAATGGTGGATGGAACAAGTAAACTAAAATATATATATATATATATATATATATATATAATAGAAAAATTAGAACATAAATAAAATATTTATTTTACAGTAATAAACCTGAGAAAGATGACAAGCAAGCAATTCACAACATAGTGAGTTAAGGATTTAGTGCTTCATCTTTCAAGCTGAAAATCATCATTTATTTGCCAAAGTTGTGGCAAGAACAGTGCATAATCCAACACCATGAACATGAAAAGTCTCAGTTCACAGTTCAACAATGGGTACGGTCTCACTTCATGGATCTCTTCTCACTGTGTTCTAAGCTCTTCCATTTCTCTCTGTTCTTATTGTTCAGTCTGTTTCCTTTGTTTTATCTCAACAGTGTGCTTTGGCCTGCATGAGAAAGAGGCTTTCTAAATTATATCAAAATATACCATGAAAAAAGATTTAATTCTTTTAGCCCTGCAGATTCTAATTCTCATATTCAGTTCCTTTTACCTTTTGATTGTTTTTTTTAATCTTTATTTCTCTTCCTTATACTCCATAATTCTTTATGTTTTATGTATGTCTATCATTTCCAGATTACATCAGTCTGAAACATGACAAAACATAATTGGAAAGTTGATTTAATCTGGAAATAATATCAACAATTACTACTTAGATCTTCAGTAATGATTTTGTCTTCCATAGATAAATACTTGGGAGAATGTTTTGGTATGAAATGGGAGATGAAGAGCACACAGTGAAAGCTAACATGTGTATGTTAGGGAAGTTTCTGTGGAGATAGAATTGATAATTATGGACTAAATTCTTCTTACTCTATTATTATTATTTATTTCAGATTATGGTCTTTGTGTTTTCATAAGTCAATTTAATTCCCACATTTTTTATGTCACCATTTACTAGTATTAATTTGACAAGCATCATCAGTGTCATCCATCATTAGCTTTGTTCACCTTTAACATCATTCTTCACTTGTTACTATCAACAGGAGTCTTCATTGTTGCCTTCCATTTATTATCATACCTCTCTCCATCCTACACATGGACTGTCATTGTTAGGTACACACATTGTGTTTGGCACCTCTTATTATTTTCATTATTCTCTGAGAACTTTTTTCTAAGTTGTTTCTGATAGAATGAGATAATGAAGAATGAAATTATAAGGATAAAGCAAAAGGCACACTTCAAGTAGTATAATGTGAAGTCTATTTATACATAGTGAAAGAGGATATTTCTTTAACTGAGCAGAGAGATTTCCTCATGCAGTTGAGGAAATCTCATCTGCTATGCAGTTGAGGATATCTCTCTTTTATCAGAGAAAATCTCTCTGTTATCATGCCCCTGTAAGATCGAGCTCCTGTCAAGGATACCGATCTTGGATCGATGAAACAAAAATAGTTTGCGGGCTAGAGGCTTCGTGAGTGAGTCTGCAAGTTGATTAGCCGCATGGACATGAGAGACACGAAGTTGATGTCTGACAACTTGATCTCGCACGAAGTGAAAGTCGATGGCGATGTGTTTCATGCGCGAGTGGAACACTGGATTGGCACATAAGTAGGTAGCTCCAACATTGTCACAATATATTGTGGGAGTATGAGTAAAGCTAACTTTGAGTTCCTTGAGAAGATTTGTGATCCAATTGAATTCAGCAGCAGTGGTAGCAATAGCA